ATGTTTTCTGCACACTTTTAGCGAAACTGTTATCTCGTAATCATGTATGAAAATCGTTCATCAATGATTTCCTAAGAGTTCTTTTTCATCATGCAAGCGCTCTGCAGCTCGCAGTCGATGTACTCCTTCATGTACCGATTATCGGGCGATTATCGCGCAGGCAGTGATTGTTGACCACAAAACGGGGTAGACGGAGACGAAAAGGAAAGAACGAACACTGAACGATCGAATAAGAGCCACTTAAAACAGTAGATGGTTGAACTTAGAGTTCTTGTGTATCTATTTGTAAGGAACTCTACATAATTACTCTGCGTCAGCCAGGCGTAGCGCGCGTTATTGAACTGAAAGTGAAGAAGTCAGGCCATTATTATGTCGTTAATGTGAAGGAAGGGTTCTGTTCTTGTAACAGTTGCAGAGAAAATTCGCTCGTGACGTGAAGGTATGAGTGTTCTAAGTATTCTCGATCTTGTTAAGCCAACCCTTTGTAGCAGAGTCTTTTTGTTGCTAAATCATTCAGTATTCATTCAATTATGTTTGCGTGAGGAACCACGTGAGAACTGGTAACAGTTGGCGCGCGCTCCCTTCTTTGCATAAGGCTTATCTCTTAGGAGGCTATAGGTTGCGGGCATGCAGTTAAAAAACGAAGAGAATGCGATCTTTACGATTGATAATATGTGTTAAGGTTATTCACGAAAAATTGCAGTTATAGGAGCACTTTTTGCTTAGTGAACTCAATAACATTTTTAATTTGAATTGCAAATTGAAGTATGTCGTCGATTACGCTAGATTAGCACGCGCACATTGACTATGTATCCCTGGGATGGTAGAGCTGTAGTAACAGGGGTTCATGTGGAGAGCATGAATATTTTCAATGCTTAGGAAAGTTTCTATTCCTTTTCTTGTGCCTTTTCTGAAAAAGGAGTTTTGGGGTATACATATATGGTGACCCCTTACCCCTCCCCTGAGTTTCACTCTACGCTCCACGTTCGTACTTGAATTCGAGGTTTCAGGGTCAAAATTGCAAATTTTTCACGACTCCATTGTCTCGAAGAGACTTGAGCACAAAGAAAACCAAACCAAATATAGAAAAATGACCCTAAAGCCTCGGAGTCATGTCAGAATTTTAATATATCGCACGTGGGCTATTCATGAAAGTGCGTGCTCTGAATTAATATGAGGTCTAACAACTCATTCAATAGGACAGGAACCATAATGGAAACGAAGAGAACTAGACTAGATCGCAAACCAAAATACTGCGTAGCTGGATAGAAAATTCTCAAAAAAGCTTTGTCTGTTATCATATTGTGGCCACTCAGGTTCCAGGCCTCAAGTTCGACAAAAGTACCCTTTATAAAGAGCTGACAGAATGCCTAGGAAAGGTCAAACTTAAACCCCTTAACAAAATGTCTAGCTGAAATATTGTGCAATAATAGCAAAGGACACCGTTTCCCTCAGCTGACCTGTCTAAAAGAAAAACATCCTCAGCTGTCCGACTAGTCGGCGAGTGTACGTTTTTTTAGAGAAAGAAGCTCAATTATTACCTTTAAATTGATTCGACAGAATGCCAAGGAAAGGTCAAACTTAAACCCCTTAACAAAATGTCTAGCTGATATATTGGGCAATAATAGCAAAGGACACCGTTTTCCTCAGCTGATCTGTCTAAAAGAAAAACATCCTCAGCTGTCCGACTAGCCGAGTGTACATTTTTTTAGAGAAAGAAGCTCAATTATTACCTGTAAATAGATTCGACCTTATTTTAAGCTTTCGCCACGCTTTGTGGTGCGCTCTGGGAAATTCTGATAGCTAATTTGCTCACTGGAGTTAATAGGATGTTAACACCGACATTTTTAATTTCAAGTTATTGTTGTTTTGATGACTTTATATTTTGGCTTTTCTTTTCGTTAAAGCTTCTTTCCTTACATTGCTATTTCTGGAGCGTATCTACTCATCTTGGGGTGGTTAGAAGGTTTAGCAACTGTAGCTAAGACATTACGGTGACATTAACGTTAAAAGATGGGGCCACTGAGCCAGTTATCAGTTTTTAGTGACCATTTTTTAGGTCAGCTTTTCAGGTTTTGCTGTCCGTTGCGGTCTGCTGTCTTTTGGTGGCATTTGGCCATGGGGCCGAATTGTTCACTTTCTACTAAAAGCACCAAATTTCCAGGAATGACAGAACTAATCATGGCTATTAATATGTGATATGGTGCCATCACAATTTTTTTTTCTGTTTACTGTTTCTGTTTAACTGGTTTTTTTTTAGTGATTTCTGTCACTTCTTAACTGGCCGTCATTTCGACCGGAGTTACACGAAATTTATCATTTTAAAGTTTTTTGAAGATGATATTGTTTATCATGGCTATTTTAATAAATATGTGAAAATGTGTGATATGGTGCCATCGCAAATTTGTCCTGTTAAACTGGTTTTTGGAGTGATTACTAAACTGGCTTCCATTTTGACCGGAAGTAAATATCAACTAACCGGACGTAAACGAAATTTAGTATCTTTATCACACAATGACAATGAAATTGTTTATTATATGTTTTTCCAGACATTTATGTCGTATAAAATAGTCAACTGTATTACAAAAACGGTGGGTTTAATGAGAAAACCGGGAGGCAAAGCATAATATAATGGAATTTACAAGTAAGCAATTCATTCATTTAATGGATTTTTTAAAAAAGCGCGATACTATGATTTACAATTGAAAGACCAAACATACAAAATATTTAAACAATCAAGAAAGATATTATTTAATTTAACCCGTTTTACCAAGGGTCGATCTACTATTAACCTGATTGCTTTGCGGCTTTTAAGTATAATAGCTCCCCCATTTTGTCTTTTTGAGGTGTTTAACTAACACTCAGTGCATAAACATATTGGATTGAAATTGCTTACACCACAAGTCTGACAATTTCAAAGTCTTATGAAATATATTGCCTCAATTGGATCGAAAAAGAGATATCCTCTGTGTTAACTGTAACTACCTGACATCGTGGACAAGTGTACAAAGAACTGTGAAAATTAAATATGTTTTAAAGTTGTAAAACGTAAATATTCATTCATATTCATTCATTCCCTCAGGCCTTTCCATGGATAATTTAAAACACTTGTGGTTGGGGACCTAAGTCAAATCGCTTGTGGTGCAGTTTACAATAAACTGTTATTAATCAATTAGCGATTATGAATGCCCCGTGATGTGAATGTGAATTTTTAAGATAAACCACCACATTGGGGATTCTTTTAATTAAGGTCCCTTAGAATTTTACACGAAACAAGGGCTTTGAAATGGGGCCTACAGTTTTTCGTCCTTATCCCGAGAAGACTAGAAAGTCTAACCGTTTGCAGATGACATTAGAAGGGCGGCCTTTCTCGTCAGTTATTTAAAGATCCTGATTTTTTTGCTGGCGCGTAGCGGTTCACTTTCCTGCTCAGCAGACCGGTGCGTACTTCAAGCCAGCTGAACTAACCGGATGGAGGTTTAATTCATCTGTATTTTTATCACGTGAAACTGCGCCTCAGGAAGAGAACAGTGAGAGTTAACGTTAGCCTCTTACTCGGCTTTACTGTAACCACCCATAAAATGTTATGTCATTAAGGTTATGTTACACAAGACGATTCGCAAAGACGATTTTTAGCGCAACACAGCGTTACAACATTGTTGCGACATTGTTTCGAATGGTTACAACATTGTTCCAATATTGCAACGCTTTGTTGCGCTAAAAATCGTCGTTGCGAATCGTCCCGTGTAACATCACCTTTGGTGCCAAATAAGTGCAAGTAAATTTTAATATCAGTGGCATAGGTTAAATAAAAGGTTTTATTTGTCGGCAAGAAAAAGCGACGACCGCAGCCGTTCAGTCATTGCGCGCCAAAATTATAATCGTTGGCAACAGTAAATTAGTTAAAAATCATCATTTTTGTGCTCAATTATCTCACTCGTTTTAGCATATACTAAAACAATTATTCACATCGGTGTCGGTGGCTAGTGGTGGTATTTACCTCGCCGCTTCGCGGCCTCGGTAAATGAACACCACTATCCACCGACAGTGAGGTGAATAATTGTTTTTTACAGCCTCAGTTAGAGGGTTCAAGTTTAGAATGGATAATACACGATAAAAACAGTAAATTGAGTGTTTACATTTAAAGTAAATATGAAAGTAAAGAAGACCAGCAGGCACAAGTTTGGTCTTATTTCTGACTCTCGTAGTCTAGCTGGCGGCCACTTATATATCTTCTCTTTTCTCTCTCTTTTTTTTTTACAGTTTACGTTAAAATAATATCTTTTATATGAAAAAAAATTGCTGCCTTGGGCATTTCCTGTCATTTTTTTGTCAAAGTTTTTAAAATTTAGATGTTTTTAAGAAACCCTCAATTTTACTTCGGTTCAAAATGGTGGCCATTTTGAAACTCCTATTTTTAGCGCCAAATGGACTTTTTGGCAATGGCACTATATCCGAGGGGGGCTCCATCCGAAAGGGGTACTTTTTCAGGCTTCAAGGTTATGAAAGGTTAGAGAATTCCTTCATTTCGGTCCCTAAAAGGACTTAACAGGGGTAACAGATTCGTCCCAGTTATATGTAGGTTCACACTCAAGTTAAATTACATAACATCGAGTTATGTTTACGAGATGAACACAAATAATTGAATGAGCAGTTCATGCAAAGAGAAAAAGGTGATGCAAAAGTCAAGTTTATATGAATCTCTACCCACAATGCAATTCAAAGAATATTATGACATTTAGTTCTGCATTGGCAAATACACTACATGTATTAAAACGAGTGTAAACATAATGCGCAAGCGAGTTACAAACAATTAATATTAGCATTTTATCCATGAAGGTTAGTACATCCGGGTAATCGTCTCGGACTGTGTGAGAGGATTTGATGTAAACAATCATGACGTTTAGTTTTTTTTTTTTTTGGAGCTAAGTTTTCGAGGATCTGATCGTAAACCCGGCATATTGTTTTCAAAATTCACAAAAGTGATCCAGCGAATCGCAATGGAGGACTTAAGGGGAATTTTGCGAGTTTTGTGTGCCGAAAATAGACCTTGTGTATACACTTCTTATGCGTTTGAACCCTCGTTTTCAGGTAACTGTGCATCACTGTGTCCTGAAGGAATGTTTTCAAAAGGGAACCTGTACTGTGTGCGTGACTGCGGTGCGGGTTTCTATGGAAACACTCAAGAACGTAGTTGCCAGAAATGTTCCTCCAACTGCAAGACTTGTCTCAATGGAGAAGAGAACAACTTGTGTTCAAGTTGTAACTCTCAACTTTTTCTCAAAGGTATTGTGCAACACGTAACAATTTCACCTCACCTCACGCCTTTTCGCTCGTTCTGTTGTAGTTTACGGATTAATAAACTCTGACAGGAGGTTACTTTCACGAGTCTTCTAAAACCAGTTAAAAGAGAATTGTGCTATGAATCAGGATTATAAAATCGGACCACCCGGTCTGACAGTCAGACATAATGGTATATTTAACATTTTTCATGTATGTTTCGTATTAATCTAATGTATCGGTAAATAGATTTTCCCCTTTTTTGTCAGTGCTAGTTTTGTTCTCGAGGATATTAGCCGTTCAGGCTACTCTGAAATTCGAGTATAAATAAAGTTCATGTAATGTAATTTAATAGGCTTTTTGTCGAGGGTTTTTGCTAAAATCCTACCAGTGCCGTGCTTCTTATTTAGTAATAGACTGATCTGGAGGGACAGTCCTGATTAATATTGGAATCATCTTAACGAATAATCGAGCCTGGATTGTCTCTCCCCCCCCCCCCCGCAATTTTAGCAAATACAAAGCGTCTTTAGTCCAGCACGAAAAGCTGAAGCACGTGTCCGTTTACAAGCTATGTATATACCGCTGTCCAACCGGGAACGAACTGCGGACTTATGCGTTCTGGGGACTGTCTACGACAATATCGATTTACGATGATCGTAACATCTTTAATTCTCGTTAAACTCGTGTGGACTGAAGCCGTAAATGCCTAAATTTGTACACTGTAAAATATACGTTGGGCTGTTGCTCCTCTGGTCAAGTTTTTGATAGTGGAGACCTTTAGATTCGAGGACGAGGACGACTACGAGTACGAGATTTGACTTAACGTTTTTTCGCGTATTCTCAAAATATAGACTCCCCGGAAAGCTTTATTTTACCATTTTTCACTAGAAAAGTTAGCATTGTCATCTTTAGTTAAGGAAGTTATACGCGCTCTCCCGATCGCAAAATAATAAAACTTCTAACATTTGATATCTTGTTTTCGCCACCACGACATTCGCGCGAAAACTCGTAGTAGAATGACGACGGCTACCACGTTTTCCCGCCAAAATGACGCTGGTTCACGCGCGTACGACCGCGCGTACACTATTTAGTATTGAGAAAATCTCGTACTCGTAGTCGTACTCGTCCTGGAATCTAAAGGTCTCCTGTAACGACGAATTTTGTCTTACAGACAAAACGTGCGTTCGAAGTTGTGGCAATGATAGATTTAATAAGGGTCCTCCTGAGACCCAGATCAAACTGGTCGGCGGAAGCAGCCCTTTCGAGGGCCTTCTGTTGATTAATCACGATGGAAAATGGGGCACAGTTTGCGATGATTCCTGGGACAGTAAAGATGCCACAGTTGTATGCCGGGAGCTGTTGTTAGGATCCGCTAAAGAGGCAGTGAAATATGGCAGACTGGGGAAAGGAAAAGATTCAGATCCAATCTGGCTCTCCATGGTAAGAATATTTCAGGGGTCAAGTTACTATTTTGCTTGAGCAAAACCTACGGACTTAACAACACGATACAGTTCTGTTGGCAAATAACGTTTTCCTTAAAACGGCGCAGTTTTTCTTTTGCCCAATACAAGCGGCTACTCAGTATCGTCTTAAAAAATCGCCACGCTTGGGGGGGAGAAACACACTGAGAAAATGTCGTTAACGTCTCATGTATCGCCGTCATCATCATCATTATCATTATTGTCACTTGTTTACAGACTTCATGCTTAATGACTTGTCCAGAATGCATACGGCTGTGGGAAAGATCTGAGATCTTTTGTCCCAGCTTCTGGATGTTTCCCTGATGAGCCTGTTTTTCGAATTTGGTCAGGCTGGTTTTGTCCGTTCGTTTTACCGAAGTAGTTTGTGACCAAAAAGTGTGATATTATGATTGAAGGCGTTATGTTATGTTTTATTTTTTTTCTCAAGCTCAAATGCACCGGAGAAGAGAAGAGACTGGAAAGATGCGCACATAATGGTTGGGGTAACCATTCATGCAGTCATGATGAAGATGCTGGCGTACGATGTACAGGACCAGACACGACAAGAGAATGTGTTACCGAGTGTGGAGATGGCTATTACCTCAAGAACGGAAAAAGGCAATGTGCCGCATGTTCCTCAAGTTGTCTCACCTGCAAAGATTCACCGGACGCTTGCACGAGCTGCGACTCTTCGAAATTTCTTCGAAAAACAGGTATGCTTAAAAAGTGACGACATTTTAGCCACGCTAAATGCTATTATCGTACTCTGGTTTCTGTTGACGTAATAGGTCATTTTCGCGATGACGACATTTGAGTACAACTACCACAATTCATTTCGTCTCCGCTCTCTTATTTGAATTAGTCAATCCCGCTGGTGTTTAAAAGACAATAGCCCTAGTTTGCTAAAGAAAACAACAAACTGTAGGATTCTGGTAGTTGTGGTAAAAAGACGTCGTCGTGCTAGTGTCCTATACGCCACTTGCACATCTCCCATACAACAAAGGTTATGCATTTTTAAGAGGCAAATAAGGTGCATTATGGGAGATGTGTAATTGGCGTATTGCTTTTACAAACATGAGGCCTGCTGAGAATTGGCGCTACAGTTCATAAAAATAACAAAGAAATTTAAATGAAACCCTTATTGAAAAAGAGGGTAACTGTCATGATTACTAGTGCAATTAATAATTTCGAATCTGTTTTTCGGATGGGCTCTAAAACACGTTACAAGGGCTAAGTCGCAATTTAACGCAGTTTTAGCTCTTAACAAATACGTACTCATAGAATTTGCAGACATGTATCAAAGGAACCTCAGAAATCTGTAGAACACAAAGGGCTGGTTATTTAAACAGAGTTTAGCCACTGTTAAACAAAATCTTGTTCCAAGCCATTTTCAGTTTACTCAACGTAAATGGCGTACTACTCATTCTGAAAGTACGACAGCCATTTTAAAATACGTTAAGTGTTTTGAGATATTCAAGTAATAGTCCGCAGTATATAGGGTAGTGATTTAAACTTTTTATTTATAAGAACGTCCATTTTCGAGTTGAGCCTGGACAGGTCTTTTTTGGGGGGCAGTTTCAGCCTGGAAATGTTCTTAAAGATGTTCTGAAATTTCGTTAACGGAAATCAGATCACTTTTAAGCTACATATAGACAAGTTAAGACAATGATTATACTTTTAAAAAATTGCGAAAAAACTTTTCTTAAAAACATTTAAGGAACTTTTAAATAAGTCAAGTGGTGTAGGGCTCCCTGTATAACCTCCCTGTATTGAAGAGATTTAGATTTATTATGACGTGTTAAAGCTTGAAGCAGTATTAAAACGCTTAAAACGTATTTTGATCAGCACTGCTATAGCTTGTTTCGAAACGCTTTTTCTACGGCTAGTTATCAGACCCCTCGGATAACCCATTACAAGTACTGAATGTAAATATAATGTATCGACCATACACGCTGAAAGAACAAAATTTTACATGCACAGTCGTGGATTCCATATGGGACATTATTTAATTCGGATGTTCTAGGTTTACTGGAAAGTAAAAGCAGTGAAAAAAATAGATTGTTCTTCTCTGAGCCTCGAGTATGTTCTTAGCATGTTCTTAATATTTTGGCAAATTTCAGGCTGAACGTTCTTATTAAAAAAGGGTATTGTTAAAAAAAATGTGTATCGCCTTTTTTTTTCCAACAGATAAAAGCTGCGTGACATCATGTGGAATAGGTTTTTATGGTGACACTTCTAATCGACAGTGCAAACCATGCGATCGTGGATGTCGGACGTGCGGGGACGGGACGTCTTCTACTAATTGTACAAGTTGCCCGGACAATCGCTTTCTAAACGGAAGTCAGTGTCTTGTTAGTTGTGCCCCGAGGCTAGTTGGTCAGAAACGACGCATTCGCTTGAAAGGTTCAAACTCTACCGAACTTCAAGGCCGATTGGAAGTGTTTGTGAAAGGATCGTGGAGCACTGTCTGCGGCAATACCTTTGATTTTCGCGAAGCAACCGTGGCGTGTCGGCAGCTGGGTCTCGGAAGTGCCTTGAAAGCCGTAAAGAATACCGCGAAATTCGGAAGGGGCACTGGATCGGTATGGTCCAATGAACTGAATTGCACTGGACGAGAGCAAAGTCTCTTTGACTGCCCAATTGGGGCTGAGAGTCGATGCTTTCATGACAGAGACGTAGGGGTTGTTTGCCAGGGTCCAATTCCTAAGACCCTACAGACTGGCCAATGTTTAAAGAGCTGTAAACCTGGATGGTTTAAAAACGATGTTGATGTCTGTGATTTGTGTGCCGCGCACTGTGCTGAATGCACAAGTCGGAGCTACCGATGTAAAAAGTGCAAACCGCCGAAGTTTTTAACAAAAAACAACACTTGCGTCGACAAATGCCCAGATGGAGAATTCGGCCATGTACCTACCCGTGAATGCAAGACGTGCAATACTGACAAATGCATGACATGCGCAGATGGAAGCGATAAGAACAACTGCACGTCCTGTAAGCCTCCAAAAGCGCTGAAGGATCGCGAGTGCCAAAAGGGATGCGGTCCCGATTTGTACCAGAAGAATGGAGTATGCGTTAAGGATTGTGGCGATTTATTTTACAAGAACATTACTAATTTCTCCTGTTTGCCTTGTCCCGTCGACTGTTTACAGTGCAACGTCTCAAACAGCGCTCCTAAATGTACTGTCTGCGCGCCACCTCTCGTGTTTGAAAGGGACGCCTGTGTGGCAAATTGCACAGGTGCAAACTTTGCCGTGCCGATCAAGAACGGTTCATTTCCCTCCACTCCGCTTTTGCGGCTGACTAACGGCTCGGATTATTTTGAAGGCGTGTTAGAAGTTCTTCACAATGGTGTATGGGGAACTGTTTGCGATGATGGATGGGACGCAAGGGAAACCGCTGTGGTGTGCAAAGAACTGGGTCTTGGGACAGCTGATACTGACACAACACTTAGTCACATCAAGAAAATATCCACTGGCAAGCAGTGGCTTGACGATGTTTTCTGCACCGGAACAGAAAAAACCTTCAGTGAATGCAAGCATCGTCCTTGGGGTCAAACGAACTGTCGTCCAGACGAAAACACTGTTCTTCGTTGCACTGGACCAGGAGTGCGAACCTGCAAGAACAATTGTCCAGATGAATTTTACGCTAAGGGAAAAGTGTGCCTTTTCTGTAATTTCGCATGTAAAAAGTGCTCTGGGAAACCCAACAATTGCAGCGAGTGCTCCGAAGGCTATTATAAGAAAAATGGCACGTGTGTTGCTGACTGTGGGCGTGGGTACTACCTTGATGGCACTTGCAAGAAATGTAACCAGACATGTGGAAGTTGCGAAGGAAAACCCGATAATTGTACATCTTGCGATGCTCCTAAATTCAAGAAAGGCTCAAGCTGTGTACAGAATTGTTCTGCCGGTTATAATCCGTCACCCAAGCCTCAAATAAAGCTTGTCAGAGACAATAAGTCACTGTCACCTCTGGAAGGTCGCGTCGAGGTGAGTATACATCTACTTTCACGTTCCCTTGTCTTCTGCCTATTCCCGCCCCCTTCGAACACAACTCAGGGAAAAGGGAGGAAAAATTCGAAAACCGGTAATAATATTTGTTAGGTGGCGCTATTTGGCCATCCTTCATGCCCCCTTTCCTCGTGGATCTTTACACTCACGCTGGGTACCTCCTTCCCTTTGATTGTCTTGCTGCTCTCTCCTCCCCCAGAGGCTACCGCTGGGTATCCATGTATAAACAGCAATAAGCGCGTGGGGGCCAAGGGGAAAGGCGGAAGCCTCGCTTCCTCTCTTTCCCCTTCCCATCTTCCCTAGCGCGCCTTTTTTCCTGCGTCACAAAGCGGCCTCTGCAGAGAAGAGAGTTCCATTAAAACGAACAATGACTATGACATAGCCTGCGTAGCAGGCGCTTGGAAGTAGCGGGCGAAAGAGAGAACGGGCGCGCGCGAGGGAGACACGCAAGGGGTGACAAGTAAAATAGATCATTATCGCTTCTCCTTCTGCATGTACCAGATTCCGTAAAACAAAGAAAGAAACAGTACAACACCCATCAACACCTTGTTATTCAGGCTTGACATAAAATTTCATTCACTATGGCGGCGCAGGACATTCTCTCTTTTAGTAATGCACAGCAAAAGAGATAACCGGGAGACGAATTTGGGCGAGATATAAAACATAATTTAAGAACTTTTCGTGGCTCATTTTTGGGTCGGCGTCATTACCCTATAATAGGCTCTTTTGCAGTTAGAAATTCAACTGTTACAAAAGTCATTTGTAACCATTTCACCATTTTAAGCTGATCTGGCTTCGTGCTACTTCTTTCATCTTTCAGATTTTGCATGCCGGTCAGTATGGGACAGTATGCGATGATTACTGGGACATCAGGGATGCTAACGTTGTATGTAATATGCTGGGTATGGGAAATGCGACGGCCGCTGTGACACGCGCCAGGTTTGGTCAGGGCCATCCATCCATGCCTATTTGGATGGATGACGTCGATTGTAAAGGTAATGAGTTAAATGGAATTCCCCCTTCGCAGCGCACCGAGGGGAAATCAGCGGCAATTTTATTTTTTCCCGCCGCACACCAACACTCCATTTAAAATTAAGTCTGACGAGCGGCACTAGTCTCCATCGCAGCCGTTTTTAGGCTCGTCACGCAACGCTAGGAGGTTAGAAGACCGGCAGAAATTTAATCGGTCTGGAGTTTTCCCATCCTAATTTTAGCCAGGTTGATTGTGAGGATGAAATGACTTTTCTTACTATATTCGCATTGTCACTCCGTTTAAAGGAGTATTTCTGTACGGCCTTTTTTTGAGAGTTCATGGTCAAAAACCTCAGTTTCTAGACATTGAATATGTATTGGGTGAAAGAAGTTTCATGTGCTATAACGTAAATTATATAATGTAAGCTAGGGTTAACGGGCTGAAATTTCTCTGATGAGATCACAAGACCGAAATGGCTCGGTTGACCGGTTTCTCAACTCAAGGTAAATTGCTTTTTATTAAGAGTGCTAAGCAATGAAAAACCCTGTAAATCCTTCTAAACTACATGCCCCAAAAAAGCAACTTGACGTACTGTCCATGACCGAATAGAAGCCGGGGGCGTATATTTAATCTTAGGGGTCCAGGCCGGGGTGATTAATAGATAGGAGGCGTTTAAAAGAGAAAGGCGTTTATTTTCAATTTTGTAGCGATCGCTACGAAACTAATGCAGTGCTTTCGGTGAAAATGTTAAGAGAGGTTATAAATAGCGAAATATACAATCCATCAATTTTGATATGTCTAGGCCGTCTAGAGATCCATTTTTCTCTTTCTAATCTCGACTTCGCTGTCAGAATCCTCACTCAGGGTCATTGTGTCCGGGGGGGTTCTCCCCTATAAAAGTGACAGGGGACAGAGGTGCCCACCGGAAAATTTCGAGAACACTCCTAAAAGGTACCAGAAACTTGCTTTATGAGCGTGCCCCAAATTCATTTCCACCCCTAAGAGGTACCAATTCAACAACAACAAATTATATAACTGGCACTGCAAATTTTAATAGCAATTAAAAGATAACTTTCGACCACTTTCTTCTCGAGGACTTTTTGAAAGTAGTGTCATAAATCTTTATCCTAATGGGTGATGATTTTACCGCAGGCCCCTAAAAGGTACCGAGGCAACTCTGGCAGCAGTTTTTGTAGGTTTTAGCACCCCAAGCGGTACCATTCCACAAATTTAAACCCCTAAAAAGTACGACGAGCGCCCCGGCCACTTTTATAGGGGAGTACCCCCCCCGGTCATTGTGTTGTAATTTTTAGCCTATTCTTTGAGCTTGACATTAAACAAGATGTAATGCGCAAGCCCTGGTTAAGCGAGCAAGATTTTGCTCCTTTTTGCTAATTTCTTGTATTTTGGGGTAACTGTCACGGAGAGTTTATTAGGCAGAGAGCGTCTAATACAAACTTTACTTCGAAGAGGGGGCGTCTATTAGACAAGAGACGTGTATTTGAGAGGGGGCGTCAATATGATGATCATTTACGGATTTACGGTAAACCAGAATCAAAGAAAATATGAGGACATCGGCAGGGAATTCTGGACCTCTGGGTTAAATCTGACTGAGCAACCAGCTCTTCCCAATTGGCCTCGTCGCTTATTCTGTTAGGGCGCTGGTAGATCTAACCCAGAGGTCATGAGTGCAATCCTCACCGAGATGAAGAACATTTACTGAGTCGTGAAGTATATATGAAATAATTCATTTTTCAACTGCGGTTGTAGATGAAAGTTGACCTCGCTCCCAATGTGTGGCTTCATAGCTCAGTTGGTAGAGCAACGCACCAGTAACGCGGAGGTCACGGGTTCGAATCCCGTTGAAGCCCTTATTTTTTTCAGGCTTCTTCTTTCCAGTTGCTTAAACTGGAAAATTTACTGCGATGATCATTCTTCACTTTCATTAACTGTGTCGTTAACGCGCAGTTTTCACCATGTTTGCATACTCTCATGCAAACATGCCTTTCGGCTAATCACAGCGCGAGTACTATCTTAGTTATTTCATACGCTTATTTTTAGGCAATGAAACTTCAATAGCGAGATGCACCTTCCGTGGATGGGGTATTGAAAATTGCGCCCACAACGAGGACGCTGGCGTGGTCTGCTCCAGTCCTGGCAACGCTCGTGACTGTCTTAAAGATTGTGACACTGACAATGGCTTCTTTGAGGATTTATCCCACGGATTCAAAGTTTGCGGTAAATGTAGTGACAATTGCCACACATGTTATGGAAACCTTGAAAACTGCACAACCTGTCCACCAAATTACTTCCTCAACTCGACAGGGAGTGCAAATGGAACTTATAACTGTGCCCCGAGTTGCCTCGATGGGTACTTTGCAGACCGTGTCTTAACAAAATGCATGCCGTGTGACAAGAACTGCTACAATTGCGAAGTAAAAAAAGACAACTGTACCGCGTGTAAGGGATTCTTGAGGGATAACAAATGTGTTGCTAACTGCCCGGATAGTGCACTGACCTTGCAGGGCGTGGACGGCATCCGATTGGTTGGCGCCAACTCAACCGTAGAGGGGAGAGTTGAGATACTTCACGATGGTAGCTGGGGTACGATCTGCGATGATAATTTTGATTTGAATGATGCCCATGTCGTATGTCGACAGCTGAAGCTTGGAACAGCGGTCGAGGCTCGCACCAGAGCTAAATATGGACAGGGGACCGGGAAAATCTGGATCGATGATTTGCAATGCATAGGAGTGGAGAAAAACGTCAAGGACTGTCGAATGAATTCTGGTAAGGAAAAGTAGTATAAGAATTCATCCTGTAGCAAAAGGATGACGCAGAGTATAGAAAAGTGACGCACCTGAACTTACAACAAAAAGCAAAGCTTCGACTATTCCTTCTATTAGCAAGCGCATGTTTAAAAAATTTAAAGGTAATGATTAGAAAGTCGGTACCATGTTCGTCTAGTAAACTTTATAAACGGGTGCTTGAAAGTAGATTTGGTACAATTTTGCCTCGTACCTGTCTTGACCTAATAATATGGCCAATTTTTTGGTTTTGTCTATAACCGAGAAAATCTCAGACGGTCTAGGAACATTCAGATTATCCCCGGTTGGTTGGGATATTTGCTACTTTTGGAGCGTTTCAGTAAGACCAAAAGTCCCCGAAATTCTCAAACAAAAACGAAGCCGAAAATCTGATAACGATTGAGTGATTGGGAACGTCTACCATTTAAGCCGTAAATTACAGCTATTCCACTGAGGAAAATCCGGGCTTGCATCCCGTCGTTCGTACTTGTTTTCGAAATGTCCGAATAACTGAAAGAAACTGACCCATTCAATCCTGTTTAACTTTTTGAATGTGACGTCAGAATTATTTTTTTGGCCATCGACGGAACCAATGACACCAGACTTAAGACGTTTTTGATGTTGTTGTTGTTGTTGTAAAGGTGCTGTGGCCTTGCGGTTTCACGCGTTTTTGGTCTGACTATTGAATCATCCGCTTTTTTTGTCCGAGATTCCTCGTTGCCAAGGTAAAGATGCTGTTTAACCAGGATTCAGGAGTTGATCAAATACACATTTATTACAAGCTTACTCCGATCCCGGCGTATCTAATCGAACTTTCGGTAATCAAACATAATAGAACTCACAATAAAATTTGGTCAATCGAACGAGATCGAACGTTCGATTACCGAACGGTCGACGGTCGTTCCAAATCAAAAGTGCGATTACCGAACTCTTGTTTGTTTTTTATTGTTAAATAATATTAAACATTGGTAAAAAACGAAGTATTGAAAAAATGCCGAAATATTACCCTGTTATCAAAAAGTGTATATTTTGCAGGAATTTTGTACGGTGAACCGTTCCCCTAATCCCCTCGAATCCTTTGATAGCGATTTGGTAGGACGATAGTCACGTCTGCATAATTAGCAATTAATGAATCCGGCTTTCGTAGGATATGAAGAATTAAGCAGATCGAGGAAGGTGGATAACACCCTCTGAGATCTGCTTAATTCTTCATATCCTACGAAAGCCGAATTCATTAATTGCTTTATTATTCATTCAAAATAATTCATAGTTTAAAAACATAGCTAAAACATGCTTACCTTCATCGATGTTAAAGGGAACCTCCACTTCAACAAAAAGATAACTTTAAATCACAGGAAATAACTGTTACAGTCAAGTCAATCTAAAATATTTTTAAAGAAAGCGTTTGTATCCGAAAGAAATAACTTTTAGATTCGCCTATTTTTGTTTTCAAATTTTGCGGGCGTCTCCATCTTGAATAATTGTGAGGTGCTACGGTTGCCCTATTGTTATTAAACAAAAGCTCTTTGTGTCAGAACAATAGAGCAACCGTAACACGTCACAATTATTCAAGATGGCAGCGCCCGCGAAATTTGAAAGTGAAAATAAGCGATTTTAAAATTCACTTTTCCTGATATAAACACTTTTTTTAAGGACAAATTTCGAACAAATTTGTTTGTCAACAGAATTTTATTCGATTTAAACTTATTCTGTAGTAAGAGTGGAGGTTCCCTTTAAGTTCATCTTCGATAGTGTACGTTTAGGTTTGTCCAGCTCCGCAAATATTCTCCAAATAGCAGATGTCGCCCTCCGAGTTGTCTTCTTTTTGTTTTTGCCATGTTTTTAGTTATTATTTCGCCTAGTTCCAGCTGTAGTTCTTACTCTTGAAACGGGTGAAATGTCCACCATTTTTTTTTCACAACCAAAACAACTCAACCTCGTCCCCAAGTCTTCTCGGTAACGGTGCCTTAACCTGTAGCGGGCTGCATTTTTGACGACATTTCCACGTTAAATACAAAATTCTTCCAAATTTGGTCATCAGTAACTGGTTATGGTGAATTATGCGCGTGCGTTTAGCCAATCAAAATTGGGGAAATATTTTGAATGAACAAAAGTACCCCATAATAGCCACGTGGTCGGGGGAAATTTCTACTGAAGGTCGAATTACGGCGAGTGTTGTGGCGACGTTCAGAGCAGAAGCCATTTCCTTGCCACTATTATAAAAATGTAAACTACAATGCATTTCAGTATTTAACTGTCGTTTTGTTCTCTTGTACATATCTATAACCTAACATTGACATTCAGTTTGATATTCGGACTTTTTTCTATCAATCACATTCAATAACAGCCTGCGCCACAGACGAAACTGAACTCTGGTTAAGTCCGTCAACGAAACAGTGCCAAAATCCTTGTCCTGGGCCCCAGGCTAATTCAATAAAGGTTGATTGTGATTACTTCTTCGTGATTTACTTATCAAGAAATGGATTCCGATTGCATTTGATTTTGTTCAATTGGTTCGATAATCGAACTCAAAACAAAATAGATGTTCGATTATGTTCGATTACCGAACCCAATCGAACTATTGGCGTTTGATTGGATTCGATTGAATTTTGGTTCGATTTTGTTCGGTTCGACACGCCGGGCCCGATCTAACAACCTCGCGCTCGCACATCCGGGACCTTAAGTTTACACAATACAATGCCATATAAGGTAACGGCGTTTCAATTGTAGTTTTTGCTTATATGCAGGTGGGATTGGCAAACATAACTGCAGACACACAGAAGATGCAGGGGTCAAATGTTCAGGTCCTGATATGTCTAAGAGATGTGTGACATCTTGTGGGGATGGCTTCTTCAAGACCTCAGGAAAGAAATGCGAGCGGTGCTTATTAAAGTGCAAAACCTGCAAAGACAAAGCAGATTCCTGCACCAGTTGCGACTTTCCTTTCTTTTACGCGAATTCTTCTTCGGACTGCGTTACCAAGTGTCCACCTGGTTTCTATGGCAACACCAAGGAGCGATTATGCAAACCTTGTGACAAAGTTTGCCTGACGTGCTCGAATGGCGAAACCGGCGATCAATGCCAGTCTTGTCCAAAGGGATTGTTCTTAAGTAAGTCATTACTCAATCTTAATTCAATTTACCCGCGAAGGGAATGATAGAGTTATTAGGTGCTTCTAACTTTTGTTCTTATGGTGTTACTATTCAAATGAATTCTCTTCAGCAGTGTTTTCATATGATTCTTTTTCCCAGTAGTTTGCAAAACATATTCAAGATACGAATTCTGACTTTACCCTCTTTGGCCAATATTTGTGTAGGAGTTTATTTAGGGCTTTTATGAAGATTTCGTAGTGTTATACACCTCTGTACATACTCAGTGGCCCCACTCAAAAAAATCTCTTTGTGCGATCATTTCAGTTTTGAAATTTGGATTAAGCTACTTAATCAGAGTTCATTAGTTAGTGCTATTGCTCTCGCTCGGCCACATGGCTTGTTTTGTATAATTCATGCACAAGATATACAGGTCATATAGTTGAAACACTCACATGGAGTAGATTTACCCATTTTGATTGCACTGGTTTTTACCGTCACTTATTTAACCGACAAAAGAGGATAGGAAAAGAGAAAGAAAATTTCCACTGAAACCTTTCGAAATGGTTGCCACGTTTTGTTTTCAGATGGCTCCTCTTGCGTGGATGATTGCGGAGATCTTAGCTCTGTGTCATCACTGTTTCCTTCAAAGCCCTCAGAACCCGTCGTGCGATTAGCAGGAGGCGCGAGTCCAAATGAGGGGCGCGTCGAGGTCTTTTACGATGGAATATGGGGTACTGTCTGTGACGATGGTTGGGATAAGAATGACGCTAATGTGGTTTGTAAAGAACTTGGATTTGGAAATGCGAAAGCCACTAATCCACCCGAATCTAACTATCCCAAAGGTCAGTAAAGTAAAGCTATTGTATCAGGACTTTTACTAGTTAGCGGAACAACCTTTCCTACTTTTCATGTTTATGTAGGTCCATTTTTGTTCCATTTTATCTATTGTACCAAATACGATAGGCTGTGCAGCAGGCGTTCGGAAGTAATATGCAAGAAAGAACTGGGCGCGCGAGGGGGGCACACAGGATGTGAGAGGAAGCCCCCTCGTCTCTCGCGTGTCTCTCTCGCGCGCTTGCGCCAATTTGGATGCCCATTGCGATGCCAGCAGTTGTTTTTGATCTTGATGTTCACCATCAGTTGCGCTTTTTTACCCGTTGCCATCTTCTTTCGATTTAGTACTATGAGTTTAGTGTGAACATGCAAAGCCTCAGGTTAAAGATATCATTGTCATTGAACACTGAAGGTAGATAAAAACGATGAGGGGGACTTCGACAGTGATGAGACCCCCCTCCTACAAACACACGCTTATAACCCCCCAGTTTTAGGCCCCTCTCCCTGTAAACAAAGTCCCCGCGATAGAAACTCCCTGCATTGAAGAGATTTCGATGATTATGACGTTTTGAAGCTTGAAGCAGTATTAAAACGCTTAAAACGTATTTTGATCAGCACTGCTATAGCTTGTTTCGAAACGCTTTTCCTACGGCTGGTTATAAGAGCCCTCGGATAATCCCTTACGAAGATGTTTAAGACAGATTTCATTTAATTCTGTGAACAGTGTTTAGATGATAAATTTGCCAAAATAGAGTTCCTTCTGTACAAGTTAGCTGGGCAGAGATCTGGCCTGCGAACAAGCTCTCCGGGGTGCTCTGGCAGGGGGGCGGGAAAAAGAAAAAGAGCTTGCAACTACGTCTCTGGAATTTGACTGCCATCTCCAATTCCTCTGTGGTTCCCCGTCGACTGAGCTGTCAGATTTTCACCAATCAGCGCGCAGCGGGAGCTAGCGCGAATGTAAACATGTGCCAAGGGTAATGACGTCATTACCGCCAAACGGCATTTTGCATCGAATTTTTCGATACAGATTTACAAATTCCAGAGACGTAGTTCCGAGCTCTCCTTCCTTTTCCCGCCCCGCCGCCAAAGCACCCCGAAGAGCTTGCTCGCAGACTACAGAAACAAAACAAACAAACGAACAAAAAAGCCCCTAGGAGAGCTCTATCGTTGGGGTCCATTGTTTCTTTTGTGATGACGGTACTAGCAGAAAGACCCCAAAATTTCTTGTATTCTCGCGCCTTTACGGCCGTTGGTCCTCATTCCAGACCTGCGATTATCCAGAGTTAATTCTTTTTATATTTTTCATTTATTGTATATCAGGAAGTGGGATAATATGGTTGGATGGTGTTCGTTGTATCGGATTCGAGTCGTCATTAACGCTTTGCCTTCATTCTGGCTGGGGAGAAACTAACTGTGATCCAAGTCATGGTGAAGATGCATGGGTGATCTGCGACAATTCAACTGTTAAGGATCTAAGTAACAACTTTTGTAGACAAGTCAACAGTGGCTCTTGCGCTGACCATCAGGTAATTATTCACAATGCTAATTCTGTGCGCGCACACTATATCGGATGGCTTTTGCGCCGGTACGAAAACCACACCAAACCAGTTTGGTCAAACCAGTTTGGTCTAAAAATAAGTGGGGGCTGGGCCCCCTGGACCCCTCCCCTGGATCCACCACTGCCACATATCGGATAGGTTCAGTGCCACACTTTGGTGCAGTGTAAACAAGTATTCGGATTCTAGCGGAAGTGAATAAATAGGAGCGAGGACTGGAATCCACTCTGAGACGGAAGTAGGAGCCATCAACGGAAGGAAATATTTAGAATGAGGACTGAGATTTAGTTCACCAAACCCTCTCGGCCAATCTGCCCGGAACGATATTCGATGCGTGTGAAAGAGTTGTTTCAGTTCTGTGCCGTTGCTGTTTACACTATACCTACCGGATGGCTTTTCGCGTCGGCACGAAAAGCCATTCGGGATAGTGTAAACATAGGCTAAGGTCTAAACACGCTCGTCTAATCCCTGTATGGCGTTTTCCCAGTCCTTATCGGTCAATACAGACCCAAAACGCATCGGTCACACGAGATAATGAGCCCCAGACACGAGGCAAGGAACACCGTATGCGACCTGTCGCTGCAACACGTCGTGGCCGCGAATTTCCCTTTCTGCTGCTCGCAACCCAGGGTCGAACCCGAACCTCCAACCCGGACCTAATCTCTCTCCTTTACCACTACACTACCATACCGACCCGCCAAAATCCTGAAAAGATTAAGTACATTAACTACCAAACCAGAGTCATTCTTAACTGAGACATCAATAACAGGTGACCCCTAGCTCTTTCCATAACTTTTGACGCAAATTCAACTTGAGCTTCAACGCTGTTCTTTCTAAGACTGTTTAAAAACGCATCATTTGCCTTATTGTAACTTAATCCAGGGAATATATAACATCCATCATGACTAAAGGCTTGGTTACCAATGGTGGTATCGACCGTTAAAAATGGCAATGACCTTTTACGAAAGGGAATAGGCGTCGGGTTACACAAAGAACTCACTGAATTATCTGTGCTGCGACGTGCTGCTGCAACTTGATAGCCCGCGTAGCAGGCATCGAAAAGAGGGGGGGATTGGGAGGAGGAGAAAAAGGGAGGGCGAAGCTTCTCTCCCTTCCCCTTCCCCCTCCCCCTCCCCCTCCCCTTTTTAAGTTTGCCACGCAGGCTGCAGCTTGACACCTAGTGTGTGCCGATTTTTAGTGCCAGCGATAATCTATCAGATTGTAGGCACACGGTTGACCGTCATATATTATTTTTAGCTGTCAAGTATTTCTGACATGTCATAGAGCTTGTGAAGGCATCGGATGAAAGTGTGTAATTAGTTGATGCAATTGACAAGGAAGAACTGAAGCGGTATTGGAATTCGACGTAGAACGTAGAAATACGAATTCCAGTGTCCCGAATACAATGTGAGATAAAAGCCAAGGGCGTCAAAAGAGCATTAGGCCCAGTTCAGACGCTAACTTCACATGAGCCGAATGGGATTCTTACTTAGGCCGGCTGAATTGATTCAGACTCCGATCTTTATTCCAGTCGAACGAAATTTAAAAGGGAAAGAATGCGCATGTTGGACAAATACACTATAAAAATGTGCATTTAGTTCAGCCCATGTGAAGTTCAGCGTCTGAATCACCGCTGGTCCGCATCCGTTTCTCCCGGTTAGCCAGGCGTGAAGAACAGCTGAGCCGATCCATTCAATGAGCCGATCCGAATTTATTCAGAAGCCGTACTTGTTCGCATGAACTTAATTCAGTGAATTCGATTCGGCTCATGTAAAGTACGACATCTGAACCGGGCCTTCCTGCGGACCAAATCGCCCTGAGCTCGTTTTTTCCTTTCTGTCACATTTTGATCTTATCTGGAATCTACAAGTGTGTAAACGAAAATACGAAAGGCAAAATAAATTCTATTCATTATCACCCTGTATCTGATTTCCTCTTTTCAAGGCTTAACGAAGAATTTTCCTCGTTGTTCGTATGTTTTGTGTTCACTAATTGTTAACTGACGTGCGTTGCTCTTCTAGTTATGTGACAGTCACACTGGCGTGACGTGTGTTGACTTGGACCTTTATAACCAGAATGGAATAGAAGAATCAGTGTGTATGCGGTGCCCAGATGGTTACACAGGGGATGGAAGAGTTTGTAGGGGTATGGCGCACATAATTTTCTACTGTATCCATTTAGTACCCGGCTGTACAAGAAAACCAAAACCTAAAACAAAGTGGACAGAGCCTTTGTTTGAGGATTTCCATTTTTTTCGCGAACTTTTTATCGGAATGAAATTTCCTGTTAACCGTCTGCATCAGTGATGGATTGGAATAGTAATTTTGCGGATTGACTTCAACTTTCTTCTTTTTCGCATGCTTCTGTCGTGGCGTAAAAAAGGTGAAGGTTCGACCCAAGCAGAAACAGAGATAGGAGAAAAAGGAAACCTTGTGTTTATTCCCTCTCTGCTTCCGATTATGATTCAGTCTCTGTTTCATGCATGATTTACAATTGACGTCCAAGCTCCTGCAATCTCTGTTCCCCCTGGCCTCTTCTACTTTCGTAGGTTAGGTAAAGGCGCGCACGAGCCAAAGGGAAACTCGGCCGGAGCTTATGCCGGTTTCCGTAGCATGAAGAGCAAGCCTAGGAGCATTGTTGCTCCTCCCTGTATGGGATGCAAGTCCATCGCGGGGTTACCCCCCAGAAGTATGTCGCCGGTACCCTCGCGACGGGCGAGGCTTGAACTCCAGACCTCCAGATCCAGAGTTTGAGGTGTTAACCGCTCGGCCACACACGTCTCCACCTTCTACTTTCGTGGCTAGTATTATAGCAAAATTCGTTGAATCGCGCTGTACGTTTTGCAAACTTCGAAGGAGTTTTGGGTTTTTCTGTTCTGTCAATTATCTTACTGGACCTCTTAGGAAACACATGTTTACTTGTTCAAGCTTTAAAGGTCATGGTTTGTGATTCGTGATTTGTGGATTTCGAATCGTTTTGTTTGTTTCGTGTTTCAGGGCTCGTCGCTTTGTGATCGTCCTGTTTCGGGCAATAATCGACTAGTTAAGTTTGCTTCGCAGATTTTCCTGATCTTTCTTATTCTTGTTACTTCCAAGAATAACGCAACGTCTGCCTCCTCCCTTCGACAAAAAAAGTCTACTCACCATCGCGATTTCCTTCGCTATTCTTGAACAGTCTAGAGTCATTCTCAGCCAAGCTGGGCGAGCACGTTACATTGTGATTTACATTAACCCCGCCTTTACTAAAATGATTGACGGAACAGGAGAACCCAAAATCCCTTCGAAGTTTGCAAAAGGCGCAGCGCGATACAACGAATTTCGATGTAATTTATCTGCATCGTTTTCTTATCGAATTCTTTGCTCCTTAGTTGTAGCTTCCAGTCCTCCCGTGTTTGATCAAGTACCAGTCAATAACGTTACCGCCCAGTTCCAACGTGCCTTCAGTATTCGCTGTTCCTCCAAGCCTCCTGTTGTATACCCGTCCGTGTGGGACTGGAAAAAGGATGGCCAGCCTCTCTCGGCTGATGATATAACAAACAAACGGATCACCTCTTCAGCGGGGAGATTGCTTGTGAAATTTGCTGTTGCTGAAGATAGTGGAAACTATACGTGCACTTTGGTTAACAGCGCAGGATCAATTGAAAGTACAGGGACGGAAGTCATTGTGAAAGGTTAGAAAAGCAAATAGATGTATTTTAACAGGAGCCCATAACCCGGAGAGTGCAACTCCCATACTTAGCCCATGCAACCGGCGTTTTTACGGAGTAAGTTATTTTTAGCATCATTTTGGAGCACTTTTTCCCGCGGAAATGGAAGCATCGTTCCGTATGCGTGGGCATGCAAAGTACGATAATCAAAAGAGAAGAAGTTAAGGCTATCAAAACGTCAGAAATGTTTTTTTGAGTCTTAGTTTTTTAGATGACTGATTTGTAAGACTTATTTGGTATTAAAACTTCGCGGGAAAATCGATCTAAAAATAAATGGGTTTGTGAAGTTGCTCGTTCCGGGTTATGCACTCCTAATTTTGAATAAAAAATTCCAAACAGAACGAAAAATCACTTTTTTTCTTTGTATTCTAAAATGCAAAATGTTTCATTCATTCCAGTCTCGCCTCAGATCCCCGGAGTCAAGTCAGCAGACGTATACGAGGGTGACACTGCAATATTGGCCTGTCTCGTTTCTAGCTTTCCCTCTTCAAACATAACCTGGCGGCGCTATGGCAACGTACTGTATAGCAATAATAAATACATCATCAATAGTAACTACACTTTGCAAATCAAGAATACGGTGTTTCAGGACGCTGGTGACTATGAATGCGAAGTTACCAATGAGCTGGGTGGAGCGGTCGCTAATGTCACGTTATTTGTTGGATGTAAGTACAATAGAAGGACCTGGAAGCCGCTGTTCTCGGCAGCCGTTTATCTTTCCTTTACACTCTCCTTTCTTTCGATGGACATTTCTATAAGACTGAATATCTCCCTGAAGGAAGACATATTGGCTAGGGTTATTCTCTTCTGTAATTCATCTGGTACTTTCTTTGGCCAAGACAGTTATCATATTTTATAACTCTTATAACTTCACTTTCTTAATAACAGCGGAGTGTCCCTCATTGGTGGATTGACTTTATACCCAAAACATGCTATAGCAAGAATGAACGCACAAGGCGTTTGTTTATGTCTTACTTATTACTCTACTTTTAAGACCCTGCTTTAGTTCAGATTCGGCAATTAGACCTTGGCAGATCATAGTAGGAAAGTTCATTATCCATTTATCCACATCCCACTTCTCCCCTCCTCTTCCCTCCCTTCCTAAGGATGGCGGGTTTTCGAATAGGGGGTTCGGATTTTTTTCCTCAACGAAGCCAACAAAATTTGGAGCCCTCAGACAAATTTTTGAAAGGTGCCGACAAAAAATTAACCCTTCGGATTTCATTTTTCAAAAGGCGCCGACAAAAAATTGAGGGTCTGGATTCCAGTCATCTTTAGTGGGGAGGGGTGCGGATAAAGAACGGAACGTCCCTTTACAGCTGTTGTCTACAAGTTTCTTGTGATCCATGTGCATGACCTGAAATGTTTTTTTCTTACATAGTAACAATGCAATTCACGAACTTCCCGCAGAAACAGAACATAGTTTCACCAGGCCAGAAAGTCACTCTTCCCTGTGTTGTGAGAGCCTTTCCAGTCCCCAAAACGGCATGGAAGAAGGATGGGGAGCTGGTAACTAAGGATGATAATCACATGATCACTTCTTCAGAGATGACGATAAAGAAGGCAACCAGATCGGATATGGGCAGCTACTCCTGTATAGCTTGGAACAGAGGCAGTGTTCAGGCCAAGTCTACTCTTGTGCTCATAACTGGTAAGGATATTTCTTCCCCATTATAAATACAGCGATTTTCTGCAACACATCAGTGGGAATTCAGGGAGAGCGTCTGGAGTTAATCCGGGACCTTAAATTTAGACCAAATTTTCTCGCCCAGAAATGTTGTTCAGCTTTAACTCAGAGAGACAGACTTGCTCCCTACGTCTGCAACTTCATGTTGTTCAGTTGCTTCCAGGCATCTTCATACACGTCATCAGGCAGTTCATACACAATTTCTTTCATGTAAATCATTTCTAGACACTGTTAGGATATCTAGGCTAGGCTAGGAAAAAGTTAAATCAGTCAATATTCGGCCTAGTTGATTGTCACCAAGAAACCTAATATCTCTGCTGCTTCAGTTGGAATCTCTCTCATGTATAGTTCTTTGTGGACCTAAACTCCCGGAGGGCACTCCCTTATTTGGCCTAGATGTGTATGTATCGCTGAACAGTTTTAAATGGTTTTCAGGGTCTTATATAGCGTCTTGAACATGATGTCTTTTTGGACCTGGAGTGTAGAGGTTGTCGATGGGCGGTCTGAAATCTAATTGCTAAATGATGTTCGTTATAAAAAATCTTGAATTCTATATGAGCAACTAAATGAATCAGGGTCATAAAATAAGTTATCTTGTCTTAAACAGGGTAGCGAAAAGGACAATTTTTGTCTTAACTAACAGGTTCAAGGATTGCAGGCCTTGCTCCAGGGGACAAGTAAACAAGAACCCTGGGAACGAGGCCTGACGATAACCAATCGGGAGCCATCAAGCAAGGGCTCCTGGCATTCGCCTCATTCCTAGGGGAGTAATTTGTGAACTCCGCTCACCAAACACTGTGGACAAAACCATCAACAGTCCTTTCAGATCTGCTTCGATTGAGTTTACTTGTATTTTTTACTTAAATCTATCAGGTCGTCCTAAAATTGGCATTGGGCCGGAGAATCATTATGTTCTTTCTGGTGCTACTGTATCATTCTATTGTGTTGGTTATGGCGACCCACAACCAGAACTTACTTGGACGAAAAACGGAGAAAGTGTCAAGGAATCAGACAGGGTAAAAATTGATAAATCAAGGAGAGAGCTTCGGATTACTGCAGCCGACTTTAAAGACGCTGGCACATACGAGTGCACATACAGCAACAAACATGGCGAAGATAAAAAATCAGCTGTGCTTAATGTGGATGGACAAGCTGGAGTCGGTAGGTGGTTTATTTCTGTAGTAGGGTAGAATATTGAACCAATCCATTACAAAAGGCTTGTCGACTTTGCTGCCCAGTAAAAATTTGAAGACCATAGACAATAGACAAGCCTGACCTTTTAGTTCTAAAGGTCCTTTCCAGTTTCAAAATGAAGAGGTAAGGGAAGAACGTTGTTTTGCAGAAATAGAACATCTCAGTTGCTGAATTCAATCCAATAGCTGAAGTATCTCGTCCGCATTCTTTTGCCAGGTGCTCGTTTTTCCCATGCATGAGTGCCCCGTCGCGTGGGCCAAAACCTTGTGGTTCGCTTGTCTTCTCTGGTTAACTCAGCCCATAAGAGGAGATACACCGATCTAAGATTACCTTAACCCCTTCTTTCATAAACGGCCTAGCAGGCCCGGGTGTATCATTTAAGTGTTAAGCAATTAATCTGATCAATGGCAATGTACTGAATCATATGGCAAAATACAAAAAAATCTTTCTTTGGGCCGAATTCTAGGGCCTAACACTGGTGGAAGCAAATCCAGTGGACTCAGCAAAGGAGCATTGGCTGGAATTATCATCGCTGTTGTGTTAATTGTTGTTCTTGTTATCGCCGTCGTCGTCTACAAGTGCCGCAAAACGTCGTATTACAGAGGAGATCGCCTCGTAGACAAACCCGCGCGTTTTTCTGACTTGAAGTCCAAATTTGGAAGAACGACCGAGGTTCCATATCAGGAGGACATCGATTAATAAAAATATTATGCCTTCACCGCCTGCAGGCATGTTTTGTTTTCATTTTGAGTTTGCACAACGAAAGAATAGAAAAGGGTAGTGTATTATACACTAAACGTGTAAAGGAATTAATTTTAAAATAAACTGATTTAGTGCTTCGTCGTTGTCTTTGGAGACACGGAGGCAGCTAATAATGAGGGGATATCCTCGGTTCAAAGCACGGTACAATCAGAGATTACAAGAAGAATGATTGAGGCTGCTTCCTTTTTTTTTCTTGTAACGTAAACTCTCAGCTAGCTTTCTCCGCCCCAATTAGCTACCTCTGGGTCTCTGAGGATGGTGCTTCGTCGTTCGAGGAGCAAAACCCGCATTTTGGGCGATTATCTGCTGTGGTTTAACGTTATTTGACTAAAATGAAGGATCCAAAAGCTGATGTTTCGCGCTCTAGCCCTTTCTTGAATGCGCCAAAAAGACTTGGCGCTCGAAGGGAAAGCTTTTCAATATAAGAGATATGTTTATTTACTGTTGAATCCGGAATACAGCTCAAGGAATCCGGAATCCCATTAACGATTGTAACCCGGAATCGAAGTTCCGCTGACAAAGAATCCGGGATCCAATTCTTGGAGACACTAGGGAAGCAATAGGCTAGATGCACCGAGCGCCATCCAAAAAGGAGCCGTCTGCGTGTCGGCTTCAGACGTATTGGCATGAATTTGTTAAAGTAGAAGTTTTTCCTTTACATGTAACCCTTGAAAAGAGTTCATTTTTTCTATATTAAATTTCTTACGCGTCTACCGCCTACTTATTATCCTAAGGTGTTCCAAAATCAAATTTCAGGTGATTTGTAATTACAATCCCGCGATTTATGAAGACCGAAAACAAATAGTGAGTTGTTGTTAGCCTATAGCTCAGGTGCTTCTCACAGAACTATTGGAATGTAGACAGAGTTAGAGCTTACAGTAAGGTAAATCTCATAAGATCAGTAAAGCCAAGATAAGACGAGGTTTGGTCCGCGAAATGTCAATTATACAAGCAAATAGAAGATGGATGTCGGTCTGAAGACTACGTACTCGCTGTCGTTTTGATATATCAAGCCAAACGAAAACTTACCGGATGGTTTACTGCTCTCAGAACTAAACAGTTAGTTGTGAATTATATTGTTTACAGTTAACAAGTAATTTAAATATACATAGGTTGTTTAAACGGTATTATATTTTTTTGTTTATAGGAAAATGCACGCTGTAGTTTTATGTTTTAAAGACGTATGGTAACAAAACTGTACCCCGCGTTTTCATGGCACAGTAGTTTCACATTTTTGGAGCTTCTTTTTGTATTAATTTGTACATGTATAATAAACTCTGCTTTTTCAAATTTTAAGTGTTGTAATATATCAATAGAGAGTTCAATATAGTACCTTTTTTCAAGGGTAATCTGTGAGGGCAATTTTTTTCTTAAGTGAACCATTAGTTTAGAAGAATTTTGGAGAAATGACCAAATCGAAGGCAAATCCGTGTTCTTGCTAGGAACAAAAGTTGTTAAACATTCACGCTTTTAACGCCGTTTCATTATCATCATCGTCATCGTCATCTTCATTGATCGTCATCATCATAGCAATAGCTGCCATCACCATAACTTCCTTTATTGCTTATCATCATCATAATCACCTTCATCATCACCAGCACCATCAAAACCACCAAAATCGTCGCTGCCATTGTCATTATCATCTTTCTTGTTCCAGATTCTCTCTTTAACTCTGTGTGCGCCTTCATAAAATAGATCCTCCTAGTCCTTGGCGGGTTTTGTTTCTTCCCAGGATCTGAAACCAACATTTTCTCCACCTGGTTAGGTAACTTCCCCCCCCCACACACTCTTTTCTTTCAAATCGATCGGATCATAAATTAAAAGGGACGATGGTCGGGAGGAATAACGGTAACCCCCTTATAACTCACTCCGCGTTTCGATTATAGCCTCCGACTGTTTAACATCTGTTAGGGTAAAAGGCCATTACCACTGACAGGGGACGGGTATTTTGGTACTTTAACAGGGTGTTATAGGCATCCTCCGCTTTCCTTGAGAGTTGCTTGATAGTTCCTATCGTTCTCTCACTCATTCCGTTAGACTGGGTTTGCATAAATGTCGAGAATTCTCCCAGACCCTCTCGTGTTTATATCAGGATATGCAAACACAGGAAAAAAGTTTTCTATTGCTTTTATAAAATAACTTTCCCGAGAAAGTAACGCTAATTGGGAACCACGCCTGAAAGTCTAATTTGACGTAAAATAGAAGCATGATCCGGAAAAAAGAACATGTTTAATGAGACTCTTTAATATATATAATTTCAAAAAGCACAAAAATATTTACAACTTTATATTAATCACATTTAAGTTTACATAAAAAAATTCTCCAAGTAGTCATTCTACTCTCCGAAGCTTCAACCTGAGTTGTACCTGTTGAACACGAGAAAAAAAAAGGAAATAAATCATTTAAATAAACTTTCAGAAACTTACGTATAAAGAAAGTATTGTATTTTAGCATCAATCAGAGTGACTAGCAACTGCCCTTCCCTAGTCTTTAGTAATTTCATAGTTAAGTGTAATTTGAGCATCATTTCAAGCAAGGAAATTTTCCCCTGAAAATGAAATCACCGCTTTGTACTCTATGTATGTGAGAAGAAGTGAAGCAAATGTCATCAAAATATCAGAGACACTATTTTCTGGTCTCCATTTTAATGGAGACCAGAAAATAGTCGATGATGATGTGATAATAGCGATGGTGATGAAGATAACAATACAAATAACGTTAATGCTAGAGATAGTTACGAGGGAGATGGTGATGATGATTACGATGATACTGATAATGATAATGATGCTGATAATGACAGGATGATAACGATTTGAAATAAGAGTGAACCAACCTGTCTGATGTTGACCAACTTGGTCCCATAATAAGTGACGGTTGAGCTTGATGAGGGTCATAGAAGGCAGAGATCACTGTGTAAAAAATAATTTTTATTACTTTTTTGTCAGTAAGCTGTGACACTTATGGCTTTTAATTAATATTTTGAATGGTGCATGCAAATAACCGACACGTCAGGTGCAAACTTTACTCTGTTCCTTACTTAGTTACATACAGATGTGCAAGAAATTAAAACTCCCCTCGATCTACTAGTCACGGATACACTCAATTAGCATTACCGATTTTCTATTCGTAGGAGATATAGTGAAACTTTGGATTCCACTATCCATTGGATCCATTTGTCAAGAATAAAGTCCTTTGGAGTCACAAGACGTTCAATTTGTAAGAGACTATTTGATCTCGCTAAATACCTCTTGGCTGAAGATTCTGGGGATGATTTAAGGCAGATGGATTATTTTGCTGTCTGGCTCGACGTCGTGGTCTAACAGGGCGTGGTGGCAGGGCTGGAGCTGCTATAGGGGCCACATCGTACTCAGGCGGAGCGATCATGGAGGCACTTGCTCTGTTCTGTAATCACAAAAGATTGGATCGGAGAGTATAATAAGGAAGTCGATATTGATTTTCATTCGAAATTATTTCACTAGAGAATACTAAAATGAAAAGAAACGTTTTTTGTTATAATCTTCTTCTTTTTGTTATTATCTTCTTCTATAACTTGGTCCTGGTGGAGGTGCAAGTAATTTTCGGCTGTTGTTTTGTTTGTTTCCTACGAAATATGGAGCAAATTAGCATACTTTAAATAAAACTATTGCAGCTAGGTCAAACGGTATTTTTTTGTGGGGGGAGTTATGCAAAGAGAGACGATGCGTTGGTGACGGAACCTCCAGAGAGCTGCTCTAATGGCATTTCTGAACCCAAAAAGAAAGAATATTCTTGCAGTGTCTTTTGCTGCTAAGGTCATATCATTTGTAAAAGTATACTAACCTGAAAATCAGCTGGGACAAAGTCTTTCGCGAAAACGTTCAAAGAGTGCCTTCCTCCGGTAATTCTGTGGGGGAAAAAGATTGTTAGCTACGTCAATTCCAAAATTGAGCGTTGCACTGGGGCGCTGTCGCTTATTGTACTGAGCATGTCCATGTTGCTCTAAAGACTGGGTGAAAAGCCGTGGACTGGAAGAAGATCCTAGATCAGACGGAATAACTTCGCAGTTGCGTTACTTGACATCATTCTAGTGGGAATGAAACTGACGAACATCACTCAGGAGCACATTCTTCTTAGCTGACTTGTCTTCGTTCTTCCACATAAACCGAGCTTAAGTCACAAGACCAGGTCAGTAGACTATGAGTATTTCTGACAAAATTTCCTCTTAAGGGGCCAGAATACATGCATAATTATATTCCATACAATACTCCAGTTAGTTATCATAAATGATAAGCTTCCTAAGTGCACAATAGAAGAATAAAATTCGTACCCAAACTCCGGTCTGCCAAAATCGTCTGTTTGAATTTCCCCAGTTGTGTGAAAGCGTGGAAGAAATATATCGGCGTTAGGATTCAATATATGACGTTGGTTTCCCTGTTCTGCAATGCTGAAATATAAAAAAGACGACAGCCAACGGTAACCAACACGTTCCAGTTTGCTTAGCGTCCTGTTACGTTCAAAGTCAAGACTCACTACAAGTGAGCCAAGTTAATATGCTATTACGTTATAATGATGCTCCTCAAAGGGCCCACAGACTATCATCTATACCTTCCAATATTCAATTAGTTCTCATAAATGAATAACGTCCTATATAAATAAATGCGCAGTAGAAATTGAGTATGATGTATACCTAAGCTCCAGTTTGCCGAAAACGTTTGTTTCAAATGCACGAGTTGCTTGAAAGCCTGGTATAAACTCATCCGCATCAGGGTTTAAAACATGGCGGTGTTGGTCAACTTGTCCTTCAGTTCTGAAAAATACAAAAGACGACCGGCGACAATAAACAAGTCTGCTTTGCCAATTAACGGAAAAGAAAAGCAGTCCAACACTCACAGCAAGATTTTACTTTTAATGACAAATTAAAAGGATCAAGCTTCTACTTTACTCTTTTATTGGTTTGTCCTAACTTATGATCACAGGTAAGTGTGAAAAGAGAAGAAAGCCTAAGCTGAATCACTGTAGGACTCCTCGATGTAAGCTTGCGAGGCTGGAAAGCAGGCAAGAGACTTAAAAGATTTATCTACCGAGTTTCTGATAACAAGAACCTGACGCAGTTTGTTACATCTGAGCTAGTGCGATACTTAGCAAGTTTTTCATAAGGATAGCTTTAAAATCGAGACACGGTACAGTGTTTTTCAGTGACCTACGAGTTAGATTGAATCTCAGGGCGGTTGTTTACATGGTGGGAAGAAGATCCTAAAAGACCGAAGAACTTTTCGTTTGGTTTACACGCACACATCTTTGTAAAATAATATCTCAGTTAGCTCTCATATATTAGTAATGTCCTAAGTGCGCGATACAAATAAAATATAAAACATACCCACGCTCCAGTTTGGCAATTTTTTCTGTTCCAATATCGCTAGTTGTTGAAAAGCGTGGGACGAATTCGTCGGCTTTAGCGTTCAAAATATAATGTTGATTGACTTTTCCGGCAATGCTGAAATATAAAAAAGACGACAGATAACGGTAACCAACACGTTCCAGTTTTCCTCCTGTTTACGTGCAAACTTTCTAGTTGGTAGCTCGTGACTTTCAAGCGCGTATTGGCTTGTTTGTCTTCCTCTATTTATATATCTATGAAGAGAGGGTATTTCACAGAAAATATGTCAGCAGGCTATGATGCTATAACGTTTTATTTATTTCCTTTAAAAAGAACCGGAATTAATAAACATTCATATTATGAAACACCAAAAGCATATGCTTCTGGAAACACCTGGTAAAGTTCTCATACAAGATTATCACCCTAGGCCGTGTGCAGCTACAGCAATGTATACCCAAGCTCCAGTCTGCTGAAATCTTCAAATCCATCAGTTAAAACGCTGAAGCCAGCAACGAAACACAAGGCAAATACCGACAACTTTTTCTTAAACATGTTGGTATTTAACTTGTGCTTCGTTGCTGGAATATAAAAGACAAGAAACAAAGGTTACAAACATTGGTTCAATTCCAGCTTTTCTAAAAAAATTCGACCGAAGCCAAACAAAAAGAAGCTTAAACTCAGAACTTTATTTCAGTGCACTTAATCAATACTTTGTACTGTAATCTTGAATTTTGCCGGGATTAATATTGTGGGGAATCAAGATGTCGATCACTCCCTCTTAGCATTCTGTAATGGGAAAATCTTACCAAGTTAGTTCGAATTCTCCGTTTGGCAGAGTCTTCTTTCCAACAATATCATCGCTGGGCATTCTGCTGCATACATTTCAGACTGAGACCAAAACCATTCATATTAATACAAAGTAGTCCCTAGGACAACTT